CTTCTTCTTCTCTGGAACACTCTGACTACTCATTACCGTATGTCCTCTTAAACTCAAGTGAGTCCCTACCACAAAGAAATGTGACTGCTCTTCTCTCTGAAAAACCACAGTATTACATTCCTTTTATGAACAGCATACAGGAGTCGTACATGTGCCTATCGTAGTCCTCTGTAACTGATAAATTTATACACACAGAAACCAGAGCTGAATCGTTACCTCCAAAGGACCCAGACAGACTCTCAATATTTGCTGAGATTTTTTTTCTTAGTAAGAAATAAACAAGGGAAAGTTTTCTTTCCTTCCAACCATAGAAATCACATCATTCTGTCACAGGGCAGTATGTGCTCTTCATCCTTAAGCCAAACATCAATCTAGATCCACTTCCAAACAGATTTAATTCAAAGCTTATCTTTCTTCTGAAGCACAGAAGTCTAAAAACTCTCACAAGAAAATATAAGTAGCTTCTGATCCAGAAGTGTTAGGAAAAAAATTCTGGGGGAAAGCAACAGTGTTTGCCCTTTAAACTCCCCACAGAGGATAAGGGAAGAGCTGGTTTTAAAGAAAAATTTGCTTAAAAAAAAGAAAAAAGTCCTGAAATGGGAAATGAGGAGCAAGACTAAAGAATATAGAAGTATATACTTTCTGGTGTTTCAATTTTGAAAACAAATTAATAAATTCCAAAATTTCACTCAATAATGCTCATCTGTCTTTCACAGGACATTCCTGGAAATCAAGATTGGGGTGGAATTTGTGGAGGTTCACTACACCACAGGCATGGATTAAATATCCCTTCAAATGTCTTTGCATGTCACAATATTCCTTCCTCAACGTCTAAGACTTTCACTGATCTACTCAAAAAATATTTGACACCTACTATGTGCCACAGTCAGACACCAGGTGAGGCAAAAAGAATAAGACAAAATCACTGCCTTCAAGGAACTTACAGCCAGGTCTGGAGTGCTGTTTGGTACACATGTAATCATGCTAATGGATGCTTAGTGATTCAGGATCTGAGAGAAAGCACAAAAGAGGAGTGGTCAAATGGGAAAAGCAATCAAGATTTAACAGAGAAAAGGAACACGTGAGTAGGGGGAAGGGGCGACACATCCTAAGAGTGAACACCACATTCAAAGGCAAAGAGATGTGCAACATGGCCCCTCAGAGCCTTGGACCAATAGTACCTTTACCATCTGGGGGCTTGTTAGAAATGCAGAATCTCAGTTCCCCTGCCTAGACCTACAAAATCAGAATCTACATTTTGACAGCATCCCCAAGGATTTCTTATGCTCATTAAAAATCCCTGGTATAGAGGACTCAGAAGTAGTTTGGTACAGCTAGAACACAGGATGCCAAGGAAAGGAACTCATAAGAAGTGAGGTTCCACAGGCATCTCCAGTTCATGAAGCACCTTATCCTGGAACTAATGCAAGCCATCACAGTATCGAATTGACATGAAGGTATGGCAGTCTCAAGGAGACTAGGGAATAACATGAGGGTTGGAGGAAGAAGAGGGGATTCATTCCAGATGGAGTAAATCTAGCAGAACCTAATCATTTGTGTAATCAATACATAGGAGGTGAGTCAGGTCAGGGAGGTGTCAATGAAATAAGAATGAGAAATCTCTAGGAAGCAGACAGAAATGGCAGCATTTACTAAAACAGGGAACACACAAGGAACAGACTTGAGAGGAAAGATGAGTCCAATGTGAGATGTGATGGGTTTGAAGCACCTGTAGTTCAACCAGTGGAGATGTCTAGTAAATGGTCTATAACCAGAAAGAGAAATAGGGCGCCTGGGTGGCTCAGTTGGTTAAGCGACTGCCTTCGGCTCAGGTCATGATCCTGGAGTCCCGGGATCAAGTCCCATGTCGGGCTCCCTGCTCTGCAGGGAGTCTGCTTCTCCCTCTGACCCTCTTCCCTCTCGTGCTCTCTCTCTCATTCTCTCTCTCAAATAAATAAATAAAATCTTTAAAAAAAAAAAGAGAAATAATGCCATTATCAGATAGGAAGGGGCTGATGCCTTGAAAATGGATGAACTCACCCACAATGAACTAAAGACAAACTCCCCCTAACACATCAGCATTTAAGAAATGAACAGAAGAAAAAGGAAGCAACAAAGCACATGAGAAAAATCCCAAAGAGAAGGGAATCATGAAAGACTGGTGTCATCAATGCCAAGCAAAGGGTCTCATGAAGGGAGAAATAGACAGAATAACATGCCAGAGGTCAAGGCCTTAAAAGTGGATTTGGTAATTAAGAGGTCCCTTAGAAAAATTAAATGAAATAAACTTTCATCTATACATACATAATTATACACATACACACACACAAATATCCACACACAAAGGACACATATATCTCAATGGCTTTCTCTGGGTAATAGAATTAATAGTAATTTTTTGTTTTATTTACCTAAGATTTTATTTTATTTTATTTTAAAGATTTTATTTATTTGACAGACAGACACACAGCGGGAGAGGGAACACCAGCAGGGGTAGTGGGAGAGGGAGAAGCAGGCCTCCCCGCTGAGCAGAGAGCTTGATGCAGGGCTCGATCCCAGGACTGAGATCATGACCTTAATGACTGAGCCACCCAGATGCCCCAATATTTTATTTTTAAATAATCTCTACACCCAAAGTGGGGCTCGAACTCATAGCTCTGAGATCAAGAGCCACACACTCCACCCACTGAGCCAGCAAGACACCTAAGGATGATTTTTAATTTATTGCTATTCCCTCTGTATTTTGCAATTGCTCCTCAAGGAACATGAGTTTTGTAATTTAAAAATATAAAATAGGGGCACCTGGGTGGCTGAGTCAGTTAAGCAACTGACTCTCGATCTCAGTTCAGGTCTTGATCTGAGTTGCGAGTTCAAGCCCCGTGTTGGGCACCACGCTGAATGTGAAACGTACTTAAAAAAAAAAAAAAAAATATATATATATATATATATATATATATATACACATACAATAAAAAAATAATAAATAAAACAACGATGGTTTTTGCCAGTAGTGTGATTGCAGTGGGTGGAAGAGTGAACACCAAGTGAGGAAGTAAAGGAGACAGGAATAGGGACAGGGGAAGGGAATCTGGTAAGCATCTAGAGATAAATGCAGAGTTCTAGGAAAGGGTTTGTTTTTCAGGTGGGAAAGATCTGGGCAGGCTTGCAGGCTGTGGGACAGGAAACTGCATAAAAGGACTGTTAAGAGTGCAAGAGAAAGAGGCACTACTCCTTCACTGCTTGTTATGAGCTGAGCACACAGTGGTGAGCAAGACAAAGTCCTGCTCTTATGCAATTCACTTTTTCTACTAAGAAAATAAATTTTAAAAAAAGCAGATTAATATCAGACAAGTCAGACATAGCATGATTAAACTAAAATAGGGTCGTTTTTAGACTGAGTACCAAGATAAGGCTTCTCTGAAGAAACAGAATTTAAGTTGAATCCTGAATGACAAGAAATCAGCTTTGCAAAGAAGGGAGAAAGGCCTTGTTACCTCCACTTTACAAATCATGAAATTGAGGATCAGAGGTTAGGTAAGATTATGTAGCAAGTAAATGGAATCCAGGTCTGATGAACACCCAGACCAATACCCTATTAGATTCTGTTGTATTGTTTTCCTCAAATGCAAACGTGAAGATGAAAGATACCATCGACCCTCCTCTGGCCTCACAGGGATACTTAAGGACTAAAAAAATAAGAGTAACTGGCACAACTTTCTCAAAATAAAGTCTTTGAAAGCAGAGAAATGCTTTCTGAGAAAGTGGAAGCATGGGCTCCTTGAAGGTTAACTGTTCAGCCCTAATAACAAAATCCAGGCAGGTTGTAAGTTACAAGTAGGCTACATTCCAAAGATCTATAACTGAGTTGTTAAGTCATAAAACGTTTCCTCCATATAATTTTATGCAGAGAGTAGGTTTCCAGGCTGCTCCACAAAGATCCATGTAATCATAGTTATTACTATTATTATAACTAATAAAGCACTTACTAGGTACCAGGCCTTACCCTAAGTGCTTTTTATAGATAATCTCATGCAGTACGACCAACTCTATTACCACTCCATCTAACTAAAGAAACTGAGGCCTAGAGATGTTAAGTAACTTGTCCAATGACAAATCCTTACCTCTTAGTCTTGTCTCCCAAAGTACCTTTATTTATTAACAGTATTTCAAACTCAATTTTTCTCCAATTCTAAAACCTCAGTGCCAATCTCCCCTTCTCAAATGGTCAGAATACTACTCTAATACTTTTTCATCAAACTTCCTTATCCTCTCTTCAAGTCTATGCCAGACCTATCTCCCGATAAACCTCAATCCGTGAAAGCATTTATTCACACATTTGACACCACGGATCCCTTGGCATCCTTATATCCCCAAGAAATGCCTTGCACTTACTCACTCATTGACACTTACAGAGCCCTACTATGACAATTCCCAACCCATACCGCACCCTTGTAAATATCGAGGAAAACTCCACTCCAGAAAATGCAGGCAAAAGCCCAATCTAATCACAATTAAACGTCCCTCTCTAAACTATCCCTAGCTCACCCCCAATTCCCAACCTATCCCTCCCACCCCCAGAATATAAACTTCTCAAAATCTAAGTTCTAGCTGGTTACTGATCACCGATAATGTTCGCACGTGGGACAGGACCCAAGCCGCTCAATCCTAAAGAGACGACTAACACCCGATCCCAGCAGCAGTCTTCAAAGCCGCCCAGCTTAACAGGTCGCCCGTAGCCCGAGGACAGGAAAACCCAATACAAGTAGAGCACAATCCAAGCCGGAAGCAAACCGAGCACACGGCCATGACCTTCTGAAGTCGACTGACCCTGTCACCCGAAAACCCCCGCTGCGGAGCGGGGTCCGAGACCCCGGGACGATTGGCCCCAGGGTGGCGAAGAGGGCACGGAGAGAGACAGGCGGGCCCGGCCCCCTCCAGCATCACGACCCCGGGGGACGCCCGCGCTGCAGACGGGGAAAGGGTAGAGCGTGGGCACTCACCCGGCGACAGGCCCGGCGCGGGCGGCCGGCAGACAAGGGGCGGCGTGCGGTCGGCTCAGGCCGCCTGCGAGGAGGCGCAGGGAGAGCGGGAGGCGAGGGTCCGCCCCGGCTTGGAGTAGCCAGCGGGCTGGTCTCAGCAGGGCTGCCATGACTCGGCCGTCCCTACCGCAGGATGCACGCTCGGCGAGAAGGACAGGGGGAGCACGTGACCGCTGGGTCGACCGGCGCGGGAGAGACCAAAGGCCGGGCGCGCCAGACGTAGGGGGAGCCACGCGTTGTTTTAGCTTAGAAAATAGACAAACAGATTTCTCTGAGGACATAGGAGCCCCGTACGACGTGTCAATAATAATGTGACGTGACTGATTATTTGAGGGTGCTTCTCTTTTCGTTTTCTAGGCTTAGTCTCAGCATGCTCAGTGCCTCCACCCCTACACTTTTCAGTTGGTAGAGTCAGCAGAGGTCGACTCCTCCCAGGTTAGCGCAGGGGCTTGCGGGGGGCCAACTAGCAAGGACACCCGGGAACTCTCGAGAAGAGCCGACTATGAAGGTCCCAGCGTGTGGGAAGATTCGCGGTCGTGAGCGGATGTTGTCGCAGGCGTTTAGTGGAATCAGCTCAGCGCCGAAGTTGCCGCGCCGATGGGAACGTCCTGATAGGAAAGCTCTGAGACGTGTGGGACTGAAGAAACGTTGAGGACCTTTGCACTGTGCCAGGGGCCTCAAAGGTTATAAGAGGATGTGATTTGTGTTCATGGGGCTTGAGAACAGTGTAAAACAGTACGTAGGTCCAAGCCTAAATCCATAAGCAGTGCCTCGCTTTACGACATAGGTGGATGCTAACCAAGATCGTATAGTTTTAAAGCTGGAACTGAATTCATTATCTTCCCCACTTCCACCCCGCTTCTTCGTTCAGTAAATGCACCAGCATCAGAGGTAAGATAACGATAGGAATAAGAGTCTGGAGCCAAATCTGGGGAGAAAACCGGGGCCCTTGCCTTCACAAGGTTTATAGTCTGGAAGGGTTCCCAGTGCACACGTGGGAAGCCGGAAACCGGCTTCCACGCCCTCTTCGCCTAGGTGTATCCTACCCATTGCCAGGTGAACACTCAGAAGTTTTCTCTGGAAGCTCTCTATGGTAATTCCCCATGTGGCTGTTTATCCACTCAATATCCAGCTCCTTGACAGCAAAGTCTGTGACCATTTCTTGTAGCTGAGGCACCTACGCAGTGCCAAGCACACAATAGGTTGCATTAAATGTTTGCTGAATAAATGAGCATTTTGAAATTACCTAGTTTGTCTCTCCTTTGAGAGATGAGGAAAATGAGATCCAAAAAAGGTTAAATGATTTATGCTGGATTATACTACTAGGCATTAGTAGTATAATTTATTAATTAATTATTAAGTGAATTAATAAATTATACTACTCACTCAACACTGATTTATTGAACACCTATTCAGTACCAGGCACTCTTTGAGATGGGAATCCAGCAGAAAACAAAACAGAGCGAGTCGGGACTCTGATGAAGGGCTCCAAAGTTTAGTTTGGGAAGACAGATAAGAACTGTCATGTAAGATAAATCAGGATAAAGAGATTGAAGGTGCATGTTCAGCCTCTTGAGAGAACAGCAAGAAGGACCATGTGGATTAGAGGAAAGAGGAAGTCTGGGAGGGGAGGGTGGGCCTGCCTGGAGGTCTGAGGTAGTTGGGGGCCCGATTATGCAGAATATTATAGGCTGCTGTAAGGACTTTGACTTTTGTTTTAGAAAGAGATGGGAAACCATTGCAAAGGTTGGTGTTTTGCTGTGATGTGAATCTATTTACATTTTTAAAGGATCACTGGCTGCTGTTGAGAGAGGTGATTTTAAGAGAATAAAGGTAAATAAAAGTAGGGAGACCAGTCAGGAGTCTCTTGCAATAATCTAGGCTAGCCGTGATAGTAGCTTGAACTGGGAGGGGAGGGGGGGTACAGGTAAGATGATGGGAAAGGGTCAGGTTCTCGCTTTATTTAAATAGTAGGACAAAGAGGGAATTGCTGATAGATTGGCTGTGGCATATGAGTCAAGGATGTTTCCAAACATCCTGGGGCCTGAGCAATTAGAAAGATGGAGGTGGCACTGATTAAAATGGGAAAGATTGAGGGAAGAGCAGATTTAAAAGGTGAATCAAAAGTGATCTTATGGTGGGGCGTCTGGGTGGCTCAGTTGGTTAAGCATCTGCCTTTGGCTCAGGTCATGATCCCGGGGTCCTGGGATCGAGCCCCACGTCCGGCTTCCTGCTCAGTGGAGAGCCTGCTTCTCCCTCTCCCTCTGCCTGCCTCTCTGCCTACTTGTGCTCTCTTTCTATCTCTCTGTCAAATAAATAAATAAAATCTTTTTTTAAAAAAAGTGATCTTATGGAATATGAAGCTTGAGGTGCCTGTTAGACATCCAGATACCAGGTTTCAGTAGGGGGGTTGCTCTAAGAGTGCAAGTCTGGATTTCAGAGCAAGAGATACATGTGGGCATCTGCAGCCTATACCTAACACTTGCAGCCATGGAAACAGGTGAAAGCACCAAGGAAGAAAATACAGAGGAGAGATGAGGTTTAAGGACTGAGGGTTGTGACATTTCAGTATTTAGAGGATGCAAAGATGAAAATCCAGCACAGGAAGCTGAGAAACAATAGCCAGAGAAGTAAGAGGAGACCTGAGAGAGGGAAAGGTGAGATCCCAAGTAAGAGAGAGGCAAGTCTTTCAAGAAGGGAGTTATGAACCGTATAAAATGCTGCTGTTCATTCTATTAAAATGAGCACTCAACATTGACCATAGGATTTGGCAACACAGAGGTCCCTGGTGATGCTGAGCAACATTATGGTGACCTCTTGAGTCAAAAGATAGACTGAAGTTAAGTTAAAGAGTACATGAAGGAAGGGAAAGTGGATACAGGGAGTGTAGACAACATTTTGAGGAATATACTGTGAAGGAGGGAGCAGAGAAAGGGGTGGTATCTAGAAGGGGTGTGAAGTCAAGGGAGGTTAATTATTTTTTTTTTAAGATTTTATTTATTTATTCATGAGAGACAGAGAGAGAGAGAGAAGCAGAGGGAGAAGCAGGCTCCCAAGGAGCAGGAAGCCCAATGCGGGACTCGATCCCAGGACCCTGGGATCATGACCTGAGCCAAAGGCAGATGCTTAACCATCTGAGCCACCCAGGCGCCCAAGGAAGGTTAATTATTTTTTAAGATGGAAGAAATAATAGCATGTTTGTTGCTGATGGAAATCATCTGTATGTAACTATTTAAGTTAATTTAAACTTTTAAAAATTTAGTTCCTCGGTGATTAACCACATTTCAAGTACTCAATAGCCACAAGTGGCTAGTAGCTACCGTATAGAACAGCGTGGACAGAGAACATTTCCATCATCATAGAAAATTCTGTTGGATAGGGCTGCAGTAGGAAGTGAAAATTTGATAATGCACGAGAGAGAGAATGAGTACATTGAGGAGACAAGAGGGAATAGGGTCCGGTAAAAACTGAAGGGGTTGACTTTACATATGAATCTAGACAGTCCAGCCATTGTCACAGAAGGAAAGATTCGGTATATGGTTACAGATGCAACAAGGCTGGGAGAGGTAGTAGTGAGAATGAGTGGATGTTCTCCTAATTGTTTCTATCCCTGAAACCCTTCATCCCTAACCAGCATTCTCTCTGTTGCTGTACCAGGCTTCCTCTTAAAGCATAAAACAATGACTGATGAAATTTATCTAGTTATTCATTCATTTATTCATTCATAAACACATTCACTATTTATTGAACACCTAAAATCTGCGAGGCAGCAAGTTAAGTGCTAGAAAAACTATGATGAACAAAAACAGAAGTGGTCCTTATTGTTATGGAGCTTGTATCCCAGAGGACAAGGCAGATATTAATAAAATAATCACACTAAATAAGTTACACACTGAAACAGGTTCTGAGGGAAAGAGACATGTTTCCATGAGAGAGTATATACCTCATCTGGGAGTCAAAAAGATTCCCAGGGAAAGGATCATTAGGTTGTGGTCTGAAGAATGAATAGTTAACACATGCAAAGTGCATGCACACACACACACGTGTGTGTGTGTGTTTTGTGCATGTGTATAAGAGGAAAATAGCGGTGTTTGCTTGATTTTCAGTTCAGACTTCCCAAATCCTCCAATGTCTTTAGACTGCAGAAGCTGTGACAAAGTGGAAGAGAAGTCCAAGTTGATCATCCTTGGTTTCTCCCTTAGTTTATTCTGAACTATGAAGTGGATTCAAATGTTGGTTAAAAAATTGGGAGTCCCATAGCCTCTGAATAGAATCTTATTAGAAAGGACAGCTTAGATGCTAGACTTTGCAAAAGTACTTAACTACTTGGTTTCTTTATGTGTAACGCTGGTGATACCCTTCCTCCCAGGATTTTTTGGGAATATTAGATAAAATAAATGAAGTTCTTACAGTAGCAGGCACATAAGAAACTCTGAAAAATGATGTAGCTACCATTATTGTTGTTGCTACTTTTCATGATTTAGTCTAACCTTACGAGTTTGGGTTCTTCTCCAGTTTCTCCTTGGAGTCTGTTTTTTTTGTTTTTTTTTTTTGACACTGCCTAATAACCTATAGCTAGTGTCTCAAACTCCCAATTCAGTTTATTCAGTTGTTAAGTGCTTAGGATAAGCAAAGCATAGAGCAAGTTACATCTCAGGGCAAAGAAGTTATACATGATACACTTAATGAGCTTAATTTATACAGTAGTATAAAACATATTGTATCCAGATAACCATTACCAAAGGCAGTGTGATAAGAGCAACAAAGAAGAGGCAAACCAAGTGACAGCTGGGCAGGAGAACAGAAAAAGGTTCCATGACCCTTCAGCCCTTGGAGGCTAAGGAAGACATGAGATAGTAGGCATGGTGGCGAGGGGAGTTCTAGGCAGAGGGAACAGCAGGAGCGAAGATACAGAGCTCTCCTTCCTTAAACTGCAGAATGTGTTTGGACCCTGAGATCTGCCCAGAGCCTATGGAGTAGAGGAGAAGATCACTAAACCAATGGCTTTCACGCTTCTGTGACTGTGACCAGTGGTAAGAAAATACATTTTATAAATGACACAAATACACACATATAAAAAGAAATGTCATAAAACAGTAACGAGCCTTCCCACATATGATGCCCATGGATATGCAGTAATCTA